AAGACTTATAAAATCATCAAATCCAACCTGAACTTAACCAAGAATGGCCAAGTCCAGCACCAAAACATGTCTCTAGGTGTCCTGTTTACATATCTTTTAAATATCTCCAAGGACAATGACTCAATCGTTTCCCCGGGTAGCCTGTTCCAATGTTTGACAACCTTTCTGTGAAGAAGTTTTCCCTAATATCTAACCAAAACCCCTCCTGGTGCAATTAAGGCCATTTTCTCTTGTTCTGTCACTTGTTTTTTGAGAGAAGAGACCAACCCCTACTTGGCTACAACCTCTTTTCAGGTATCTGTGGAGAGTGATAAGGATCCCCAGAGTCCTGCCTTTTCTCCAGCCATTGTCCTTAGTCACCCGGAGTCACCCGGGCACACCCGGGCTCATGTTCAGCTCTCAACCAGGACACCCTGGTCCTTTTGCACCTTTCCAGTGACTCTACCCCCAGCCTGCAGCAGTGCAGGGGACCATCATGACCCATGTGGAGGATCTGGCACTTGGCCTTGTTGAACCTCATACGATGGATAGAGTCTGTCCAGATCCCTCTGCAGATCCTTCTCCCTCCAGCAGACAACACTCCCACCCCGCTTGGTGTCCTCTGCAACTGACTGGAGGTACACTTGATCCCCCTCCTCCAGATCACCAATAAAGATGTTAATCAGGACTGGCCCAAATCCCTGGGGATCATAACTTGTGACTGGCTCCCAGCTGGATGTAATTCCATTCACCAGCACTCTCTGGCCCCAGCCATCCAACCAGATTTTACCCAGTGCACTTCTCCAAGCCACGGGCTGCCAGCTTTTCCAAGAGAATGCTGTGGGAGGCAGTAATAAAAGCTTTACTGAAGTCCAGGTAGCTAACATGCTCAGCCTTTCTTTCCCTCATCCACTAGGTCTTGTAATTGAAGATCAGGCTGGTCAAGCAGGACCTGCCTTTCCTAAACTCATAGTGGCTGTACCTATATCAGCTGGTTGTCCTGCATGTGCCACATGGTAGCACTCAGGATGATTGCTGGTCAAAGCCCCACTCAGCCTGACCTTGGGTACTGCCAAAGATGGGACATCACTGGCTTTCTGCAAAGCAGACACTGTAATATGAGATTAAAAATACATTTAAAACCAAGCTGAATCCTGCTGAGTAATGTGACCCTGAGTATTGCTGATTCCAAGTAAATTAACCCATCTTCAGCCTTCCTGAAGCCCATGTTTAATGAAAAAGCTGTGTCAACTTAAAATAACACTGTGGCTGCTTTCAAGGTAGGGCCCTAGCAGCAGCTGGAAATTAAATTACTAGAGAAGGTTCAGAAAAACTTTCTTCTGATGACATGATATTTTTCTTGCAGAGATTTAAAATCAATGACAGCTTAAAAGTAAGGTAAAATAACTGAGTTTCCCAAACTCTGCAAATTATATGTCACAAAAAAAGGAAAAATTGACAGTCCCAGCCAGCTGGGATCTTTTCTCTTCCTTCCTATGCTCTTAGAGGAAATTTAATTATAGAGGCATGTCTGATTACATCTCCCCGTTAGCGGTGGACTTTATGGACTTATTCTACCTCTTGAAAGACTTTTTGGTTGCACCATAATGAGTAGTTACATAGTTGTTTAAGAAAGCACTAATGCACTTGCCTACAGTGTCATTCATAGGTCAGTGATTGCTAATAGGATACAGTCAGGCCCTTCTCCACATCAACAGTACACAGCTGTCTCAGGTACGTAGTGATTATGTGTCATTAAAACTTGATTCTTGTTCACTGTTCTGTCAAAAACGAGATTTTTGTGTTCAATCCATTTCTTAATGGGCAGGTGTTACAAGCAAATTGGCATTAATTGGCAACATTTTTGGTGACCTCAGCAGAAAACTGAAGGTATAAAATGACTGAGAGTATAAAAGCTGTGATTACAGAGATGATCTCTATTTTAGTGCTTTGGAGGAACAATGTGAAGAGTTTTCAAGATGAGCAATAGCAGATGTTTAGTGGAGAAACGCCTTGAAAGTCAGCCAGCTCACTACACTGGGTCAGACCAAAGAACCATCCAGCCAAAAATCTTGTTCCCAGAAGATGCCCTCAAGAGAATGCAACAGAGGAAATACATACAGTTATTTCGAGGGAATATTTCCTGCACCTCTGGTGACTTCTGACATGGGTGCTTCATGGAGCAGTTGGTTATATAGCCTAAGACATTAATTCCCTGGTTTTATCATATGTCTTTTACTTCTAATCAATACCCCTGCTACTTATGTGAAAATGCCAGGTGAACCATTGGTTTTTAACCCCTTTCTCTGTCATTTCTTTTTTTACATATCTCAGTCATACAATTCCTCAACAGACCAATGAATCTTTGTTAACCTAATTGTTAAAAACCAACTCTTTTCAAGATCTAAATTTTGAGTTGTAATCACTTGTTCATATCCCATTAGAGTGTGCGAAAAGTTAATATTGTTTTTCTTCATGCACATTGCTATATATTTATCTACTGTATTTTTAGCAGTTCTTTTATCTCTCATTCAGTATAATGAGCTTCTTCCTCAGCCCTTTCTCTTGTTTTTTCACTTGCTTCCTCCCGAGTTTCTTATTTTTATCCATGTGTTTTGAAGAGGATATATCAAGGAATCTCAGTTTGAATTGTTAATAGATTACAGGTTAAATAGAACAAAATAGCTGCTGGTCCTATGATAGTATTTTGTTTCTATGCAATGGTCTTACAGACATATGTATTCCCTGTTTTGTCCTTAAGAAGATGAAAAGGGGTAATTCCAACTTTACGCTCTACCATAAACTCATTAGTAGAGTATGGCTTCATAAAAAATACATATTTGAAACTTAGACTAGATTGACACCTTCATACCCTTTTGCTGTTCTTGGCCATTAATGTTCAGATCAAGCAGCAGGGTTTCTGCAGATATAAGTAGTTTGGAACTGTGGGAAAAAATAAATAATTCTTTCCATTGTGTTTTTCAAATATCAAATCTTTGAAATTGTCTGGGAAAGACCCATTTGCTTTAGGAATTTACAGCAGTTTTAACAGTTTAGTATTTTGACATGAATATTTCTCTGCTGCAGTTTCATAGCTTGGGGTTAATAGATTTTTGACCAAGTGATGGTGGCCAAGTTTCCCCTTCAATTCATTAACCTAATTAAGCTAATGAATAGCTGCAATGTACATTTTCTAAAATTCTAACTTTTACTTCCACTGAGATGCTTTTTCTTTATGCTGATACCCTACTGAAGCATTTGATTGAAGTGTAAGGGACTCAAATGGAAACATTAAATTGCCTATGTGACCTACTCTTTTTTTTTTTTTTTTGCTGCCAAATGCTCTTAAATTACCTAGAATATTGCAGAATATTTATCAGGTTGTTCAATAATCTGACAAAACAAGTACAACTAATAGTTCATAAGAAAAATACTTTTATGTATAAATTGTCTAGATGTTTTCTGCATCTTGAGAATTTAGGGGGTTGGAACAATAGATGATGTTGTTGCTGACATTTTTATGTTCTTTTCTCATTCTTGGATTCAGTGATCATAATCAAGTATTTATATTTGGCTGCAATAAGCTACCTTCTGTTTTACTCCCAGACAGACAATGTTAGATTATGTTGATCCTTTTCAACTTCACATTGCATGTGCTTCTGTCAATTATTTTAGTTCATGCAGAATTCTGTAATAGGTGTCAGATTCTTAGTTGTGATACTAATAAATTTATTCTAGATTTTAAAGACACCTTAGCCTTTTGTGCCTAATTTCATAAAATAAAATTAGTCCGTGGACTTGATTATGAAATACTCATATGCAAAAACACCAGGAGATCTCAGTCAAATGAGCGCTGTATGGTTCTAGGGGATAGCAAATGCTCTAAATGAAATTCCTGTCCCCAAAATAATTGCTGTGTAAAACATTCCTTAGTGTTACCAACCCCAGCAATTTCATTACAAATTTTTTTTTTACTAGGAAATTGTACTTCAGTCATTAAGTCTCAGTCATCCTGTTAGGATGTGAAACTCACTATTTTTATTTATTTAAAGAAGTAAATAGATCAGCCCTTGTTGACTGTAAGAAGGGGCTTTAGGGGGAAAAAATAATCCTAAATCCTTATGATCAAGAAAAAGAAATAGACAATTCCCAAAATGCTTTTTAGTGTGTGTAAGTTTTATGGCTTTTAAACATCTGGCAGAACAGAACTGAATTTGGGTCATTCTGTGGTTTCTGTGCTTTCATAAATACTCTCAGTGTTTATTTACAGCTCATATAAAAATAACTAACTTTCAACTCTGTTTTCTACTGGAAAGTTCTCCACACAGTGCAAGATAAAAAATTTTGGTTCAGAAACAGCACAAACACCTAACTTTGACCTAAATATGTATGTCTATAAATCTTTCTCAACCAACTTTGTGTAAATGTTACTTGTATCTTTATAAAAGAGTGAAATGCTCAACTCTTGCCTTTCTAGTTGAGGCATTTGAAGAAAGGCTTCAAAGATAAAATTTCAAAAGTCATCCATCTATATTATGATAACACAGGAATTAGAATTTTAAATCTACTCTTAAATGATATAACAGCACAATGCACAAATAAATGTTCTAGTGTTGTATTTAATTAGGATATTATTTATGTACTTTTCTCCAATAATAGAAGGAGGCAGAAGAGTTATACAGAACAAATTAATTTAAATTACAAATGTATACTATGCTGCATTTGGAAAGAAAGTATGACATCTATGACTGAAAATTTTCCTTTCTAGTATCAGTTATTAATATTAACAAAAATTTAGACATGTTTAATGTTAAAGTAGTACTGAAATTGTAGCAGGAGCAAAATATCAAGATGGGTAACATAAGGGGTTTTATTTCTCTACGCCATCCTGAGTTTCTTGAATACTTTTATTGTGATGATTATTCACTTCTGAGACAAACAGACCCAGAGATGCATATTCATGGGTTTTCCACTATATTGTCTTGTAAGCTCTCCTACTGTTTCTCATTTATTCTGCACAGGCTCCATCATCACCTTCTTCACCCATAGCTAATGAACCAAAATACGAGAAGCGCTGGCTAGACACCCTATCAGTTCCTCTGTCGATGGCTCGAATCTCGAGGTACAAAACCGGAACAGACAAATTAAGGTTTGTAATCTAAAAGGGGAGGCACTGGGTTAGTTAGCTGTACATAGTGTTTTGCTGTGGATTGTTGGCTTTATAAGAATTGAGTGGAGATATTAAATTCTTCTTATTAAAAGATATGCAGTTCATCTTCTCCTAAGATTAATGGTATTCATGGTGATTATCAAAGATAAGGTAAAGCTCCTACAAATACATTTCTATAATCTGTTGGATCTTGGGAATTCAGTTAGCATCAGCAGCTAGTACAAAGCTGAATCCCCATGTTACGTGAATGAATTTTGAAGCTACTACTATTCCTTCAGTATACCTAATAGGATACTTCTATATTCCCCAATTCTAATATTGTCAATTAACTCTCCTTTTTTTTCATTATAAATGATAACACAGTGCATAATCATCATGCCTGTGCTATCGTGTCATATAGATATGCTTTTATCAGTGTCATATAGAAACTCATATTGATGAGAATTTGGCAAAGTACATGGTACAAAATACTGTATTTTTGATCATAGATTTCTTTTGCATCTCAGAGATATAACTAATGGTTCATAAAGTAACTGTGGAATAGGATGTCAGAGGTTATTTTACTGGGCTTCAGGAAATATGAAAGCAAAAGTAAAGTTTAATAAAGCTTCAATAAATAATATGCTTGAGAAAGTTTAACACATTGCAGCATATATAAGCTTTTTTTGCAAACCATTCTGTGGTACAACTGTCTCAAATTTACCAGTAGTTGTAGGCCAAGCAGTCCATAGTTCTCCATATGTATCAGAACAGGAGTTCATTCACTGTCACTATTTTTCATGGTCTTTATGGGTTGCCCTGCTTTTATTTGTCTTTAATACATATTAAGGAGATAAGATAATTGGAAGAATTGAAGAACGAATATACAGGTCACCTGCTAAGAGGAGGTACCAGAAATTCGTGTGAATACCTTTCTTGACCTATGCCAGATTTTTTACTGGTTTCCTGAAAATGACCTGAAAATCATTATTTTTCTAGTAGGACAGATATGCTGCTTTAACTTACAGCAATTCATCTTCTCAGGCAGTTGGCAGCTCCTCTCCCAGATTTTGTGTTAAAGCATCAGAGGTGAATAATAATAAATTGACCAGAAAATTTTAGCTTCTTCCACAGACTTTCTTTGAACCCTTAATTCTCTTCTACTTAGTGTCTCACCACTTCCTTCACCACTTTCTTCCTCCCTACTTCAACTGACAAGTCCATGCTGTCCAGTCTTGTCCAATCTATCACAGACCTCCAACAATTCAAGGCTTAGACATTCAGTGAATTAAGTAAAAAAATCTCAGTGTTCACATTTAGGCATCAACTTATCATCAGTATTCTAGAATCTAAAGGATAAATGGAAGAGGATAGAACATTTAAACCTCTGACTTCAGTTAGCACCCTGATAGTTTGAAGCACTTCCCTTCCTGTTCTGTGCACTTTGCACATTAGATGGAGAAATCCCAAGGGTTTCCAGTTCCCAAGGGAATCCCAAGGGATCCCAGTTCCCAAAAAAGTGGCATGTGCATTTTGAGAATTCTTTGAAGTAAAACGCCTTCAGCTTTGTTACTGTGTCTGGTTGAGGTGGAGCTTATCTTCTTTATAGTAGTCCATATGGTGCTTTGTTTTGATTTGTGACTAAAGCAATATCAACTGCATACCAGTATAGTGGTTATTGCTACCAGGGCTTGCACACCATCGAGGCTTTCTCTTTTTCTTGGTCTGCTCCTACACAGTAAACAGACCCAGGGTAGGCAAGAATTTAAGAGGAGGCACAAGCAGGACCAGTGAACCAAACTGACCAAAGGAATATGCCATGCTGTGTAGCATCTGTGCTCAGCAATAAAAACTGACCAGAGAGGGCTTGGGGAAGGCAAGCCATTTCTTGGAGACTGACAAGACATCATTCTGCTTGTGAGAGATAGTGAGTGGTTGCGTTTGCATCTCTTGTTTTGTTGTAATTTAGTCAGTTGGGTTTTTTCCCCTCTTCTGTTTGTTTATTAAACTGTCTTTATTTCAGTTTATGAGGTTTTTTCTTCTTCGTATCCTTTCTGCTATGCCTCTTGAGAGGGCTGGGGGAGGGAATGGCAGTGTGGATGCTTGGCTCCTGGCCCGGGATCAACCCATGAGAGATATGTTTTTTGTGTAAGATTTGAGGAACTTAGTGCTTTCAGTTTCAGTCTTGGAGAGACATAGTCTCTTGTGATGTATCTCACTCCCATATATATATTTAGTATTTATTTCATTCTTTAATTATTAGTGGGCTTTTTTGTTATTGTTGTATACACTCTGAAGGAATATGAAATAATGCCATGAAATCTACTGCCATCCCATGATACTTTGCTTCTAAAGTAAGTGCTCCTTGCTTGTTTTGGTGAACCAACAAATCACTTGAGCATTAAAGGGATACTGCCTTGAGGTTAACTGTAGATGAAGCGTTTCCCATCATCTTACTAAAAGTGGGGTTTTTTTGCCTGAGGGACACCAGACTGCTCTTAGCATGTGCTGTGAAATGCATGTATGTATTTTTACTATTATCCAAATTGTATCCTTTTTTTGCATTTCCCCATGTTCATATTCTTCATAGTGTCCCACATATGTCTTCTGTAATTACTCTCTAAAATCAAATATCTGCCTTGCATTAAATAAAACCTCTGATCAGTCTAGATAAAAATCCCACTTTCAACCATATCTACACATCTCTTGTTCGCTTTTACATTGCAGCCATCAGTCTAAAGCCATTGGAGTGAGCGTGAATTCATTCCCCTGAATGGATCACAGATCAATCCTTTGGACTAATTTCCTAATCTTACCATACCCTGAATATTTATTTGGAGCTTATTTGCATACTTGAGTTGACAGCATGCCTGTTTTTCCTGTACTACATAAGTCCACGAGTCTGTCATAACTTGTAACGTGTGTCCTGCCTGTTATTTCTCATAACTTTGTTTTGTTGCAATGCTTCATTATGTTTTTATCCACTAAGTTATTTCAGTTGGTCTTGCAAAGGTGCTCTGGCATCAGAACAGCCAGATTACTTTTATTAGGCTTTGTGGTTAAACTGCAGTTTAAATTATTCTGTACTTCAGTTGAGTTTTCCGGTAGTTTTGCCAAAAAAAGACATAATTTCAGCATATTCTTGTGTTATGAGATTGCCAAAATCACAGGCATCTGTTTGATTCTTATTTGTTTTTCATGTGAAGAGAAAGGCAACTTTCCTCTGGTTTTTCATTTCACTTGACTTTTTATTGCATTTTTCACAGGAAGTCTTTAGACTGTCACTTAAGGACACAAGAATATTTTTTTAGTATATTTTAAATTCTGTTAACACCATATGTATTAACAGAAACAAGAGAAAATGGGATACATATTTTCTTTCCACATAAAGGAATGGCTGAAAATACTGCACACTGGGCATGTGAAATATGTTTATCAATATCACAAAACAAAAGCAAAACAAACTTCCACAAACTATTTTAAAGGAAAGATAAGAAATATAGTAGATATCATTCCTGTTCCCAGTGGAAGATTAAACTTTGTATTAACTACTGAAATCACCTTGAATTTGTGTAGTTCACGTTGTTGATATGATTGGAGTCTGTCTGAAGATATTTATACATGTAGCATGCTAATTAGTCTTTTTTATTAGTTAGCAATTCAACAACTTTTTTATTCCTTTGCCTTTATTATATAAAATACTCCTTCTGTTATTCTAAAATTCTCACTAATCCTTCAAGGTAATTTTTCTCTGTAAGAAGTAAGGTAATATAAATTTTGTGAGAATGCTATTGCTGTGAATACTCTTAATTGCTAGTTGGCAACAGAAATGTTTTTTGACTGATGAGGATTGAATTGGTCAATAAATGTGATGTAAGTTTAACAGAGAAATAATATCAGTAAGTTTTTCACACCCAAAGGAATTTGTCGTTCATATTATCGTTTGGGGTGGGGTTTTTTTGGGTTTTTTTTAAGGTAGAAAAGTAAAGATAGGTAGTCTGCTGGAAGGTGGGGAACACAGTTCATGCACTGTAGTTTTTCATTTTTGTTATGGAATTGTTATTTGGGGAAATGCAGAGAACTATTTTTAGTCCTTACAGCTGATACTGGTAGTAATGCATACTAATTTTTATCCATTGTTTTGACAGAAGTTTGAGGTAAAGGTACAGTACCTATAACATCTTGCACATTATGAGTTTAGAGACTGAAGAAAAAATGCTTATTTTGAATATAACGTAAAAGTTCATCTCTTCCCATTTCAGCTGGCACTGAAAATACTTTTTATCTTAGAAAAGTCTTTGAATTTAACACCTCTATAGTAGCAAACTGCTTGTATGGAAAATTTTCTTACTAATATTAATTAACAGTACTTGTTTAAAGGCATCAATTTCAAGAAAAGAACCTAAAGTCTACCAATGCTCATCTGTTATTCTGACTGCCATGCTCACAAAGATAGGGTTTCTTTTATTACGAGAAACTAATGCCATAAACAAACTCCAGAAGAGACCAGACATGCAGATCTATTAATCATTTCACCATGAAAGTGAGATAGAAAGACACTGAGTATGGAAAATGGTGCCTCATGCTCCTTAGCAGAAATGCTTGAAGGAAACAAATTTACAGGTAGGGAGACAAATCTCAAAGTAAGAAATGTGATGGAAATGCAACACAAATTTCTAGTATTTAGGAAAGGCAAATATTCATTTCTTGCTCCAGTTGGAGTAGTCAGCAGCATAACTTCAGTAATAGAAGATACAGAAATTTCCTCTGTCTGTGTTTTAAAACCATCTTAAGGCCTCAGGAAAAAAAGAAATACAAACCAACAAAGAAAATAAAAACCCTACAGCAACTTTATAGCATCTTGAAACCTTTCAAACTTATTATTTGGTATTAAACTGAAAGCTCCTCCTTGACAGCTAACAGGAGTATGTACTTTGTTGTGTCTCTTTTTCTTTTCTTTGTTTTGAGGAAATGACAGAGAGAAATGCATGTCATTTAAGCCTATGGATTTATTTTCTCATGAATTTCAGTGCCATCTTGGTGCTTGCTTTGATTGTTTCACTTAAAACAAAAGCCTCAGGATTTATTTTGTTAAGCTTTTATTTTTACTCAAGATATCTGTTTTTACTTGTAGCCTTCTGTACACTATGCTTTTCAGAACACAGTGTGGTACACAGAACAATATCAATATATTATGCGATCTTCAGAGAAAATCTTTTGAAACTGAAAGCAAGAAAAAATCATAGCAAAATTGATTAAGATTCAGGGCAAAAACACTGTCTTACTACCATAGACTTCATGACTGGCATATGTAAACTTTGAAAAGCACTGGCTGGTTTTTATTTTGTCATTTACACTGAACTGCTTTCTGGTAAAACCACCTTCCTGCCAAGACAGCACAGTGGGGACAGCAGTGCCCCAAAGGTCTCAGTCTTGTGTGCCAGGTAATGTGACCACCACTGGCACATTAGAAGCCTTGAACCAGCCTGAGCCCTGGGAAAAGAATGTCCTGGTGTCAGTGTGCTGGAGCAGGGGAACAAGCTCTGCAGGCAGGGCTTGGGGATGTTGGCAGACTCCCCAGTGAGCAGGAGTCAGCTGAGCACAGGTTCAGTGGTAAAGTCCCATATAAAGGGATGTGTTAGCAATAACACAGTCAACAAGTCAAGGGAAATGGTTGCTCTCATCTCACCTGAGGCAGCTTCCTCTATGTCCAGTTTTGGTCCTCCTGTGGAAAAGATCTGTATTTTAAGAAAGTTAGTGAGAAGGCTGGACTAGGGGTCTTGCAGGATCTCTCACACCCTATTTGATTCTGTGCAAATATCATGTTAGTGAATTGTTGGATCTCTAGATGAATATTGAATATTATTAACTGTCTGTAATTGATCACCACATTTTAAAAAAGATAACAGGACTTTTAGTGTAATCCATTCTATCACCAGCACCATATTTCAAATTATTAAATACTCAGTAATTTTTATAATGAAATTTGGTTTTTTTTAGTTTTGATTGCCTGCTTTGGTTGCATGAATTGTTAACCAAGAAGTTTCCTTCTGTGCTCTTTCATCAGCCAGTTAAGTGACCTCATGCCACTGGGATAAGGCATTCAGGTCTTTGTGTGTCTGCAGAAGCTGAGTTAGTATCTAGACACCCTGTGGTTCCATGGAGAGCACATACTATTGCCTGGCTCTCTTAAATGCTCTGGACAGCCCTCTTGCTGTGTAAGAATCCTAGCATCTTAGCTTTGATATTTGAATGGGATATCTAAGCTGGGCATTGTGAAGGGCTTCTCCTCACTGCATTAAATTAAGTCTGTTTCCAGGCACCGGTGTGTATCAATGCACAAGATCTGACAGATTCTCACTGTCTCAGTGGGATGTTGAGGAGATCATACCATAAGTCACTTCATTACAGCATTGTTGGGATCTTGGTCAGAACCTTAGGTAAAAAGAACAATATGTTTGTTAGGTGATTATTTTACTCAGTTTATTGAAGGCAATAAAAGGATTTTTTTTAATCTTGTCTTTCTGAAGAGATGAAAGAGATTACTGAAATGAAAGTGACACAGAATTATGCCATTGCCATCAAGTTTTAGTAGTTCTCATGATAACTCAATTATGAAAGAAAAATGGACAATAATCCGATAACATATCTAAGTCTTCAGGCCAAGCACATTAAATTTTGCAAACAGCAGATGTAATGCTTTACAACTCCTTTAAAAGCAAAGCATCTCACTGTTCTGGTTTGAAAGCAAAACTAGTGAGAGACTCTAAGTCAGGAATACAATTTATTAGGAAAAGGGAGAAAAAATCCCAAAATACATACAATAATACAAAAGAAAAACCACTGTTAGGGTGGTAGTAGCCATCCAGATGAAATGGTCTTGTCGAAGTGGTGATCCTGTAGAAAAGATGTGGTAGCTCTTGTCCTGTGGAAACCAGAGGATAAGGGCAGTTTGTTCTGCCCACAATTCCAGATTACATCCAGGTGGGGATGCTTAGCTCCTCCCCCCTGGGCGGAGCATCTCACAAGGGGCTGATATTTTTATGTGAGTCATGGGGTGGGTCCTTGATTGCCCATTAAACAGAAATGGCTCCCCGAGGGAGTTATCTCTGGGTTATATGGCAGGACAGTGATGGGCCCATTAACAGGACATAAAGACAAAACAATGCCTCTCCTGGTTTCAGCAGCTCTTGAGGATGGGAAGAGATTACAACTTTACATTGTAACCTAGGACACTCACATATATCTATTCAGATACATTGTTTTATTTATATTGTGTATGATGTGTCATTTATATTACCTTTTCTAGCAAGTATATAGAGTTCAGTATTCATGTTCACCATCAAACTCCCTACAAATGACAAAGGTTAGGTTAGTAACTTTTTCACTAAGTCAGGAATTAATAACTGTCCATTAACCTCTATATGTCATTTTGAATGTTGACATATATCATCAATTAAGTAGTAGATGGCTTCACTTTGGATCAGAGAACTCCAGGAAGACTCAGCAAATTCACAGAGGAGTATTCTGATTCGGTAGTTGGCTTTCTTCTAGGTTGGTACCAGAAATAGAGCAATATAGCATATAAGTAAAAATATCTCATTTACAAATGTAGAAGGTAGTGGTGATATTCTCCATATTATACAGAAAATGAACATACACACAATCACTGAGAAAATTATAATTGTCTTTCACAATAATATATAACTAAAATCTAATTCTCCTGGCAATCATAGGCATTTAAATAATCTGGTTATCTTTGTGAAGTTTCGTTACTGCAACTATTGTGTGTCACTTTTTTAAAATTTAGACCAGTGTACTTTCATGCCTCTACTTAAAAAGCTTTTGTTGTTTCTATAGGAAAATTTTAAGAGTTAAAAAAGCATATCCTACCAGCATTCAGATGCAGGGGATTTTAGAGGTACATAGGCAGTGCCTAACTTACTGCAGATAGTGAGGAAAGGAAAGCATTGGCATTTGCAGAGAAAAGTCGCTATAAACACATAAAAGTTGCATTAAAAGTTAATAAAATGCAGTTGAACATTGGCCTGTGCCAATGCTGTTTTGAGAAGACTATTTAAGGAAAAATTTTGAAGAAACTTCTAAGAATGTTTTTCAAATTCCTATGACATAAAAGTGCTTGAAGTAAGCATTGCTTTGAATGCTACATAAAAAAAGTTTAGGAATCCAACAAATGAAAGCTAGGCAAAACAGTGCTTTGAATCTTCATACATTCTTAGTAAATGAAGCCAAAATGCAATAAATAAAATTGGCGTTTTGGTTTAAAAAAAACCACTATGGTTTTGGTTTTTTTTCAAAAAGACCCAATGCATATTTCCTGAATATACTACCTTATGTTCAATAATTATGAACAAAATATGTATACCCAGGGGAAGTAAATCATCAACACAGGTATATATTGGTACAGAGAAAGTACTTATTGTATCTTTTGCTCTTGGTACTGCCCTATTATACTTGGTTTTATTGCCTTTCTATTGATTGGTAAATTAAACACTCAAAAACTTGTCAAAAGGCATAAAAATCACTTGAACACTGATAAATATTGGGCAGTTTCCAAAAACTGACATATCTTCCTTTACGGATATATTTCTTCTTACTGCAGATCTAATGCATTTGAAGTGCTGGCACTCGATGGAGTTAGTACTGGGATACTTCAGTTTTATACAGCCCAGGAGAGTGCTGACTGGCTGAGAGCAATGTCAACTAACATCAGTGATTTGACACTTCAAAATGTATGTTACTTTCTGCATATTTTCTTGTTATGCTATTGTAAAGTTATTTCTAGTTTTCAAAGGATAAAAACAAATCACTTTTAAGTACAATATATAAAATGCTTGTGTATGGGGAGGAAAAGGAGAAAGGACAACACAGGGAGAGGTTGCTTGATCAAAAGGATAAAGAACTTTTCAAGGCTTGCAGTGTTAGCATAGAACAGAAACCAGTAGAAAAACAGATTATATTTATAATTTTAAATATTTTTAGGGCAAAATATGTATCAATACTGGTCATTTCATAGAGCTTTACATGTGACCAAATATTTCGTTTCCACATTTTTGTAGTTAAACTGCACTTGAAATTAACATTTGTTGGTTTTGAAACAAGCATGTGAAGATTCTATGGGTAATGAAGTATGATTTACTGAGATTTACTGGAGACTGTAATTTTACATCTCTAAATCGTCTAAGAGTTGATTTATTTAATGCCACATTATTCCATCTCACTTCCTAGAAGTATAAAGATGCTTATGTTATTTTAAGTTACTCCCGTAAATTAGTAAGTAACAACTGCCTTTGCAAGCAGAAGTATTAACTAATCCCCAGAGAAACAGAAAATTACTATTTGGACGCACATTTATTATCCCATCAAAGAGCATCTAAAAACATTGATAATTATGGAATTAACTATGACGTTAAATAGGTAATTCAATAATGTACAATTTTGAAAGTATATTTGTCTTTAAGAAATGATAAAATTCAGTGATGAAAATACAATAGCAGAGCTGTCCCTGAAAGAATTGCCTGTGCAGGTTTTAATATTTCCTTTCGCTACATGTGCAGAGTCTGTTAACTTCTTTCATAAATTATGATTTAGTAGCCTGACTTTTATTTGTGCTTTGTACTCTAAATGAACTGTTGCTTAGGTAGCCAGATTATATTGTGTAGAATTAGTATTAGATTTCAACATAAATCTTTAAGTCTGTTGGTTAAAATAGACTTAAAATTTAATTTGTTTTCCTAGTCTTCAAAAGCTACATGAATCACATTTGATCATAATAGTTCATTTATTCCATTAATTATTTTAAAATATTCAATTGCTTAAACAATCTCGTTGTCAAAATCAGACATTTTTGCTTATGACGTATTCTTTTAAAATACTATTTAGTGAGTCACATAATGTACAGGGTATTATTATCTAATAATTCTAAGAAAGTGTATGGTAATATTTCTAGAGCAATTCCAATTCATAGTTACTAAACTTCTTTTTTTTCTTTCTTTCTAGAGAAATTCACTGAATAAAAGCCACTCTAATGATATAAGTGAATAAGAATAAAAATAAATGCAGGCATCTTTTGTTAGTCATAGGGTGCTGGTCAGTTTTTTTCAAAGGACTATATGCAGTAATTATGTGTCCTGACACTGTATCTTCACTGTGCTGCAACCTGTCAGCAGCAATATTTTATTATAAACTGAGTGCTTTCTTAGTCTTCTCCACTATCTATTACTAGTGAATTCTGACAACAAAGTAGTCCATCTGGTGTTCAAATGCCTGGCTGTTGCCAGGAAGTGCCTGAGAAACAACAGTCATGATGAATATCCATGTTTTGTGTTCTTGGTGAGTTACAAAGTAAACTCTATGCAGCTCATATGAGAAGCATGTAAACCTTTTTCACTTGCACAGTAGTTTTACAGGTTTTGTCAGGTGTGCAGCCTGTGGTACAGCTGGAAAGGTCAGGCCAGAGCATTTATTTAATTACTGATCTTCAGAAGGGGAGATGCACTAGTCAGTGAGAATTCCTTTTGTTGCGAACTATTTTTAAGACAGGGATTGAGAGGCTGGAGTACAGCAGAAGGCTGGATGACTCTGCCTCTGAGCAGCCAGAAAACACAGACCACCCTCCACAGTGCTTAGGATAGGGCCTTTGAATCAGGCTTCTTGGAAGTCTATTTGGAATTCTTTTGATTACCTTAGTCTTATAATGTCAAAAAATTATTCTTTTCTTATCATACCTCTGACACTGACATTGGGGACTGAATCTGCAGTTCCTTCAGAGCCGCTTCCTTGTTTCTGCATTTCTACGCTTCTGTAAAGTGTCTCCCCATTCTCCAGGACCAAAGATAATCACTACTCAATCAGAAATTGTTTCAGAGACCTCCTTATCTGGTTATGGGTTATTTTCATGAGTACTTGCTGACTCAAAGTTCAGTTGCCTCTCCAAATAGTTAAACTATGGAAATTAATTACTAGATACATGGCCACAATGAACTTTTTTGCTAACACTGTTGGCATAATGTCAGCATTCTTACCTGAGCTATTACTAGGTTTTTAAGCAATATTTACCATTATTCATGTTTTACTTTCACACATTTTTACATTTTGTTTTGCTGGTACTTTTTTCATGACTTTAGCAACTTTTCTTGCATCTTAGTAATTCTTACTTAAACTGTGCCTATCTGTGTTACTCTTATATACATTTTTTGTCCTACATATTTGCATGAAATTTTCAATAATTTCTTTTAGAATTTTAGTTCTTAAAAAGCCCCTAGTAGGGATTAATTGTTTTTGCAGAGTGCACCTAATCTTTCTTGTATCACTTTACCCTAATATACTTTTTTTTTTTTTTATTTTACCCTAATAAAGTCATGTTCAGCAGCTCTTTGTCAGATCTCCTGCTGATGCCAGGAGACAGTCCTAGTGTAGGTAGTGCAAAAATAGCTCTGCCACAATGTGACACTTCTACTAATGTCAGACTGCTCTTTTGAAGTACTACTGAAACATCTAACTTCTATACAAAGGCAAGCTCTCTGGGGATCAAGTGTGTAGGAGGAGTCATCCACAGTGGAGATATGAGAAGTTGTCACTGCGCAGGAGTGCTGCCCCTGTACATATTTAGAGTGTGTTACTTGGTAGATGAGAAATAATGATTCTGGAACCAGCCTGGACTTAATTCTTAGATGACAGAGGAGCACAGGGAATGCTGCAATGTGGAGAAAAATGTGTATTTTCAGCCTACATTGCTGATACATGCTTTGTATGCTTAGTTCAGAAAATCTCCTAGTTACAGTCAGCTTTACAATCAACATGTGTTTCTGAGGACCCTTGCCCCAAATTATTCATCTCTCTGTACGTATTCTGTTTTTTCACATCCTTTTATACCATCATGAAACTACCCTATCATCTTCCTTTGTGATTCAATCCTCATTTTCAATATTCTCAAAGCTTTTTGCATTTATCCTTGGCAGAAGTAAATGCAGGTGAATCAGCACATCAGATTTATTTCTTTGTACACCTCTTTTCTTGCAAAGGAGGTGCAGTTGAAGAAACTGAGGGAAGAGGGGTAACAGAAACTGGCAGTGAATCTTCCATGCTGAAACAAGAAGCCCAGGAAATGAATTAATCTGCCTGTGCTTCTCACTGCTCCTGTTCTTAATTTGTTCAGCTGAAGGGTTCTTTGTAGGCTGAAGTGACAGCTGTAATGGCTATGACTTTTTAGGAGAAAGGTCTTTGGAATAATTTATATTTCTCTCTCTGCTTTTCAACATTCAGATTGACAGCTATAAGATATATGCAGGTTTTCTCATGGATCTTAATTATTGTCTTTGAAATATAGCACTGAGCATAACTTTAGTCATAATCAGTAGAAGCACCTAAAGGTAATGCTGTTAGTTCATTTACATTATAGAGATTTATTTCTTATATATAAAACTTTCTCAAGGTTTTTTGTTTTATCACAATAAATTCTAATGGTGTTATTTAAAAAAAAAGTAAATAAATGAGTAGGTCGTAAGCAGGTCAGAGAACAAGTTATGATGCTCTTTTTCCACTTTAAACATTATTTATGATTTTTATAAATCATTCCAGCAGTTTAATTGGAGGATGGCAGAAACATAACATTTGATATTAAAGTAGGGTTATTAATCCAGATCACATTTATGCCTGTGACATCTTTTTTAATTGTATATGTCATAGCCTCTAAACCTTCTCTTTTATTTCTTCATGTAAACACCTATCGGAGGATATTTTGTATTGCAGTTGTGTGGAATGTCTGCTGTTATAGGGAGAGATTTAAGAAATATGAGCTTTAAACATGCATTAAAATAAAAAAGAATATTGAGATCTTGTTTTATTTACACAGCAAATTGTGGGGTACATGTAGATGGAAACAAAATCCTTGTGTGTAGGAAGCAGTATACAAATTCAACTGCCTCAATGATTATACAAACAATTCTATTCCTATGGTGAGAATGCATAATATTTCTTCACTGCTGCTTTTTTATTGTTTTAAAAAAGCAAAATTTCCAATTGAAAGTACCACAGTTCAAACTGTAGAGGTTGTAAAGGGAAGTCAGTAAGGATAGGACACACGTGCCCTAAACTTGGACAAGCAATAAGTAGCTACGAAAACATAGGGGCCTGTCAAGATCCTTCACTGTTTTCTTGAAAGACAATAAAGGTATATTATATGTGAAATAAATCCCAGCCTGAGAGGCATTTAGATTTAGGTAAATGATTTTGAATAATTTTAGTTCCTGCCCTGTATGTATCCATTTAGAACAGAGCGTAGGAATTATAATTTGCTTAATAGTTCCTTTTCCAAGTAGCCTGCAGTCTTTGCAGACCCAGTTTTTTTGTTCTAATTCTCCTGCTGTGTCCAGCTCACATTTCTATATTGCAGTGCTGAGAGCTCATGCAGTGCCAGCAAGGTAAATGTATCCCATTGGTATTCCTGCCTGTCTGCACCAGCTGTGCAGACATGTGAAGGGCACATGTGATGCTGGGTGAAGTGAAGTGTTTGTACTTCTCAGACCCATGACACTTGGATGTAATGTGATATAGAAGCAGATCTTTCTCCTCTCCCCACAGCTACATCAGGGCTGCAGCCATCCTGCTTTGAATAGGGAATGAGTTGCCTGTACATGACAACTGTGGAGTCCAAAGCATTCTTCCTTATTATCCTTACCAATGAGAATCTGAGCTGGTTATTAAGGTTATTAAGCTCTTCAAAATATTCTACCTGCTTGTGCAGAAAACCTTCATCGCCAGGCTGACACACTTTTTTCCAGGCACATCTGAACCTATTTACTTGCACTAGTTTGTGCTATAGTAATCTTATTATTGGGTATGGTTTTGGACACTTGGAAGGAAACGATATTTTCTGTGTGTTTAACATGACTTTTCTGTAATTACTTTGTGTATGCATTTGTGTCAGAGGCACAGGAGAAAGGTTGGACTATGTTATGGGCAGGGTGTATCAGCATTTCTACTGGCATTGAAGAATTCCAGGTGACTTTCATTATGTCCTGCACAACTCTTCTAGTAGGAATAAGTGCACCACCAAATCTGACTAGTGACTGCTTCCTTCTGCAACACTGGCCATTTCACCAAGTTGTTTTAACCAAGTTACAGAGTGAGGTTCTTGAGTTCCAGCTGGTTTGTTACTGATCGAGCCCTGTGGGCACCAAGAAGCTTTTTGACAGCAAGGTCCTTTGCAAGTCTCATCAATTCTAGGACAGTTTTCAGCTTACTCCTAACATGTATGGAAAACTGATTTTCCACTCTAATATATTTATTTCTAAATTCTTATCTACACTTAATAAAATTGCACTTCAAAAAATGTTACACTTCAAAGAAATATTTGTGTATATGTCAGTATTTGACCACCACTCATTTGTGCAAACTATGACTGCCAGAAAAAAATCAAAATTATCAAAACTCTTCATTATCTAAACAAAGAGGAAAAACTTTGTCTTGAAGAGTAAACTAAGAAGAAAGCCCATGAAATTTTCATTTCATCTTTAAATACATCTTATACTCTATGGTCATCATTTCACAAGGACTTAATTACAGATGTCATTTAAGAATCAGCTTAAGCAATTGTTTAACTGAGACCTAAGTGAGATGTCTACAGAACAGTATAGTATTTCACTCAGATTGGCAAAGTTAAATTCATAAATGCAAATCTTTATGAGGTATTTAAGGAAAACTGATTGAAGGCGTTTGTCTCTCAAGTCTTGGTTTTGCAAATTTGCTATAATAATAAAAATCTAGTATTTAAGCACTGAATGATAACATTTCTTACAAATTAATTTGGAAGTATTAATATAGTATTCAATAACTAAGGTAATGATAATTGCTTTACAGAAACTCTTCAGCATATTAATAATTCAATGTGTTCTTCCTTTTCTCTTTCATAGATGAAAATGGCAAATAAATGCTGTTCTCCCTCTGACCAGGTAAGATTTCCATTATGTTATCCAATTTTTTTAATTTGTGTGATTACATTGTTGGAAAATTTGTAGAGCTTGCATATACACATCTAGTCAGTTTTAAAACTGATCTAGTCTAGTGGATGGACTGCAAGATCAGTGGTGGGAGTGAAAAGTCTATCCCACTGTAAGTAAAGATCAGATTTGTGACCGCTTCAGGAACCTGAACAAGTCTATGGGACCCGATGAGATGCATCCCAGAACCCTAAGAGAACTGGCTGATGTAGTTGCCAAGCCACTCTCCATGATGTTTGCAAAGTCATGGAAATCAGGTGAAGCCCCTGGTAAGAAGTAGAGAGGAAACATTGCACCCGCTTTTAAAATGGATAGAAAGGAGGAACCCAAGAACTATCAACCTGTGAGCCTCATCTTTGTTCCTGGCAAGATCAAAGAACAGATCCTCCTACAAGTTGTGATAATACACTTGAAGGGCAGGGAGGACTTGGAGAGCAGAAAACCAACTGTGTCCTGGGCTGCATCAAAAGTAGAGTGGCCAGCAGGTCAGGACAGGTGATTCTGTCCCTCTGCTCTTGTGAGACCCCTCTACCTCTGCATCCAGCCGTGGGGCTCCAAAACAAGAAGGACATGCTCTAACAGATGCAGAGGAGGGCCATGAAGATCATCAGAGGGATGGAATACCACTCCTATGAGGAGAGACTGGGGGAGCTGGGGCTGTTCAGCCTGGAGAGGGGAAGGCTCCAGGGTGACCTTATTGTAGCCTTTCAGTATCTAAAGAGTGCCTATAAGAATGACTGAGACAAACTTTTAACAGAACTTATTGTGAGAGGACAAGAGGTACAAATTCTAAACTGAAAGAGCGTTGATTTAGTTTAGCCATAAAAAAGAAGTTTTTCTTACATTAAGGGAAGTAAAGCACTGGCAAAGGTTGCCCAGAGAGGTGGTGCATGCCCCATCCATGGAAACATTCAAGGTCAAGTTAGTGGAGCTCTGAGCAATCTGATCTATTTGAAGATGTGCCAGCTTTTTGCAGTGGGGTTGACCTCTGTTACATTTAAAGCTCCCTTCCAACCCAAACTGTTCTATAATTCTGTGATTTAATTGCTCTCTTTGTCATGGCTTTTAATTATTAATTAAACCAATATGAAAAAGAGGTGATTATGAATGCCAGGGGAAAAGGTATTGGATTTGGATATCTTTTATTGGATTAACTGTCTACTGAAAGTGCTTTAGTAACTATTCAAAGTTTTTTTCCTTATCAGTTTGGGCACACATAATGAATTCAGTTGAAAAAAATAGACATGCTCTCCCTCAATTTTCAAAAAGTTTTGGGACAGCTATACAAACACATACATATCACTAGATATGTAATTTATTTCCCAAATTAATAGGCTAGTCTCCACAAACTGCCTAAAGAATCAGAGCAGAAATGTATTCTGTTCCAGAGACTGTTCAAATGTGAAACTTGGTATCAGTGCTTTAAATCTTTTTTTAGAGGAGTCATTTTTGCTTGTCTTGACTTGCTTCAGCCTACCTTTAGGCACCTTTAAGTAGGTGCCTAAAGATAGGCTGTACAAATCTATCTTACTTTTTCCATTCCAAGTATGAAAAGGATAATTAGGACCTTAATTTCAGAAGATGAAAATTTAAGGTACAACTGACAGCAACAAACATTGGCTTGTTCTCTGCCAAAAAGTGAGAAAAAGAAAGTTTGTGAAAGTTAATGATTTTGGTGAGATCAAGCAAACAAAACTAGAAAACATAAAAATATTAAAGGAGCAATTGTGAATAACTAAGATTTTAGATGTCCTGTGAAATTTTGCTTTAAAAGCAATCAAAATGGGAATTCTCGGGTATATTTATCACAGAAGTATCATATAGAACTTGGCAATGACAACTGAAAGCAGAAGAGGACTTCTGGCCTAGAATAATAGCACGTATTAGTGTCAGTTGCATAATATTTGTATAGACCTGAATAGCTCTTATTAAGGCAATTGATTTAAAATTTAGAGAAAGGATAACCTTAAGAGATTGAAGGTCGCTTGAAAAACTGCCTTGAAGTAAAATTGGTGATAGCTGCAAATTTATCTTTCCTTTTGAGCATGGACATTCCTGAAGAATTAAACAGGTCCTTAGAGTTTCATTACTGTGTTGCCTGCAGTGAGTTTTCTTCATGGCTTTTAGAGTCCAACTTAATCTTTCATAAAGGGAGAAGGCTGGATAGGTTTCATTCAGATTCTATTTTACACAGGCCATTAAAAAACTAGGATTCAGGGTTATCAAGAATGTAAAAAAAAATACTTTGCTAAACCTGGCTTTCTTCTTTGTCTTTTATATTGCCTTTAGCTGGTTTTATTGCAAACTGAATCTCCAGAATATAATGAATTCTGTACACATTTAAATAAAATAAAAGGGAAAGGACTAAGATATTGGTTCTTGGGTCTAAACCAGCTTCATTTATGGGTCTCTTTGCCAAAAGACGTCAAACAAACATGGTGTGATTCTTACCCTGTGAAGGGCCATAATTTAGACTTTGATGATCCTTGTGGATCCCTTCCAACTCAGAATATTCTATGATTCTATGACTTGGCCCTGTGTCTATTACCCAAAGTTAGAGGTATTAGGCAAGGTAGTAGAAATTGTACTTACTATTGATGTTTATATTGCTAAACATATCAATATTGTTAAACATATAAATTTATATTGACAGTACCAGGTCATGAAGTTAATTGGTCTGGCTACTTCTACACTTTTAAATTTCTTTTTCCCATCAAAGTAGGGTGTTTGTATTTAAACTGCCTACTGGAAATTATTTCCACCAAAGCTAAAATCCCAGACTATCCATAGAAACTGTTTGGTGAGTTCTAGTTATACCAGGACAAGTCATGATAGTTACTCCAAGTCAAGGACTACAAGACTTAAAGAAATATTCAGGGATTACACAAATTTGAAAGGTATTAAATAAGTAGCACTGCTCAAGCTCTGGTTCTAAGTGTTTATGTAACCTGTGTCAATGATGAAACACACAGCATCTAAGCATCATAACTTTTGATTTTGCTTGATGTCATTTATTATAATACTCTAGAGATTTGAAAGCACTTGATTCTTTGTTAGATTTGGGATTCAATTTTCAAAAAATACATACTGCTGGATTGATTTTTATTTTTTATGAAAGTAAATTAGCCAATTCTCTCTCTGTACAGATAAAAATACTTGCAATGTTTTTTGGTTTGTTTGCTGGATAGTTTTTTAATGTTTTTAAAACTTAAACTTTTACCATTATTATTCCAGGGAATTTGTGTCTGCAAGTCTAATATCTAAACATTAGGAAAGGGCAAACATAATGGTTGCTAATGGAATAAAGAAGGAGAGGTTGGACAATTAGATACTGCTCAATTTGACTTCAATCCCTGTAAAGAAATTTGAAATAAATAAACAAAATACCTGTGTGGAAATATGACAAATGACTACTCTGAAGGTTCTTTCAATAAGAACTCCTGACAACCAATCTAATTTTCTCTTATGAACACGTAACATATCCTGTGGATGTGTGACAGGAGGTTGCTGCAACATATCTTGATTCCAGCAAGGTTTTTGACAACTTCTGACATTAAAATATTTTGAACAAGTATTATATGGATTTGATTGTACAGATTTTGTTGTATAATCCAATACCAGGTACAGATGGTTGACTTTCAAAACTGACATATGGACTAGAAGTGCTGAAGAGGTGACCTGGATCCAGTTCCCTTGAATATTACCTTTATGGTGCATTAGCAAAAGTAAACCTACTAATTTTACAGACATTAAGCTTTAAAACACCATGTTAAACACATGAATGATCTTGCTATGTTGAAGAGTCTGAAAACTAGGATTGAGGCCAATTAGGACATGACATATATGCAGGAATAATTAAGTATTGTAAAGACTGGGAAAACTGAAGAGGTTTTTACTGCAAAATGCTTGATGGTTGTCAGGGGAATAAATTCTTTTAGAAAGGTTTGTTTCATCCACTATTGTTTTACTAGAACTCAGAGATGACCCTATTTGCAGTCAGACAGAGACAATATGAAAAACAACAGGTTCATTTTTAAGACTTACTATTATGGTTTGTTATTATGTTTACTATCACATCAGAATGTTGTAATGGCGTCTGAGGTTGACCAACAGAGACCCCAAACACTTGCATTCCTTTGGTTTACCTAATATTCCTTTTTTCCCCCTTTTTCCCCTTGCAAATAAGGAATTCACCTACACTTTACTGTTTCTCCATTGGCCCTTATTTTTCTCTGAATTTTACATGCTCATTTGGTTATTTAAGCCTTAATCTTTGATACCATCACAACCATCTATAAATCAGACCCCTTTTCCTTTATCTTTTGGCATTCTTTACCCATTACTCACTTTCCTTCAGTGTATTTCACCTTCTGGTTTACCCCCTTATTGATGTTTACCCCCTTGGTGGCTTCAGCTTCCAGCCAGCTCCTCCCTTCTCATCGCAGGCGATGCCCAGCGGTTTCTCACACTGTTACCTTGTCAGTTTAGAATCAGGCCAGGCTGGCTGCTCACCTGCCTGCCAGAACAGCCATGTCTGCTTGGTAGCTTTTGAGAAATGCAGGTATTGTGGGCTGTACCTAAGCCAGCTACTGCAGAACATGCTAAGCATTCCTGTTTCTGTAAAGCCTTGGCAGGAATACTGCCTCTGATTTTGTGCACTGTGTTTCTGAAGGTATTGACCTTCAGAGGTTTTCTGTGGCCTCCGTGGACAGGCTGAAAGAAATAAAGAAGTATGAAATAAATATTTTTGAGAGAAAATAGGAAGCCTCCACTATAGCAGAGGTCCTGAGAACATTAAGGAAGCATTTTTTAGAAACAAAATATGTATCGTGGCTACTGCAATTTGGAGAGGGTAGGGTGCTAAGTTTTTCAGAAACTCTTTTCTACTGTGTGTTTGACAATTATAAGATCGTAATTCTAAATAAGAAACTTTTCAAATATGAAGGGTTTTCTCATTGTTCCTTGTAGCAGAACTGCTGCTGCAGGTGTGCCATGAACATGTTTGCCTGGCTTCATCCTGAAGCATCCTGAGGAAATCCTGCACCTACTTTTGAAAGACCAATTTTTCTTCCTTTCTCGTCTGGGTGGTTTTTTTGTGGTTTTTTTTTTTTTTTTTTCCTCAAAACAAAGAAAAATGGTTTTAGGATTATAACGTATAGCAATAAAATGTGGTTTTTTTTTTTTCCTCTCAAAACAGAGAAAAATGTTTTTAGGATTATAACATATAGCAATAAAATTACTTTATCCTAATGGTTTGTCTGGAAAATTTAGGTTCTTGAAGACTACAATGTTACAATTTACACCTGTAGAAGGGGAGCAGGACTAAATAACTTTAAGTATCAAGAGACCATCTAGAGATAGAATTGAAGTCTTCTTTGGTTTTTGGCTTTATTTATATGGGAGGACAGCTTTTCATTTCCTAATGAAATTGCCTTGACCCTTCAAGGTCTTTTTCTGGCAGCTCAGATCCTCAATTGAAAAAAACTTAGTTTAACAGAAGAAGAGCCACTTAAAAACACTGAACTTTTTAACCTCTAGTCAGCTGATAGAAAGTGCTGTGAGGTAAATATGCTCTGTGAGATAAACAGCTAGTTTGAAATGCTTTCTTTTTTATTTTTCCACTTGTTATTATTGTAATATTGCTAAAATATAAAACAGACATAAGAAAAATGTTGAGAAGGATGTGAATTTTCCATTTTTCTTTAGTTTGGTTAGTTCCTGCTACATAGATAATGCTACTGATCTGCTATAATATAAGAATGCATAAGCAGTAAGGCAACTTACTAGTGGCAGCTGGCTTCAAGAGTTTTGTGTTTGGATCCGAACTTGAACAAGAAGGCTGTAATGAGTAAAGGTGAGAGACATCAGGTCCAATTTACCAGCCTCCTGTTAAAACAAGCAAACAGAGTAGAAACTACTATTGCTACCCAAAAGGACTTGTGATCTGAATTTTGCCCCAGCAGACAGAGCCTGGGAAGATGTGTGAATTCAGGTACATACCTCTCTTCATACTCCATTCAGCATAGTATGGTTCATTGCTATTTGTGGTGTTCAAACTGTGCCCAGCTTGGAGGTATAAATTTCATTCTTGAACTAAAGCAGAATGAACACTTGTGTCATAATTTCTAAGTGCCTCTATGCTTTGCTCTCTAGAACATTTCATTTTGAATAGTAGCCATTCAGACAGAACTGAATGCAACTGATGTACAATGGGAAACAGTAATGTAATATATCAAAACTTACAGCATTACAATCTTATTTTTTATTTTTATTTTACTTTTAGTTAATTTCTATGTACGTGTAAGGATTGCTTGTCCCCCCTCCCAGTTCTGCCCCAATAGCTGTTCTCTTCAAAATATACCATCTACCACTTGATTTGGAAAAGACCCCCCAAAATTGTTTAAGGTGCCTCAAGATATACTTCTCTTTGCTTTCTTAATTTGTTATAATTCCATTGTGCCTTACCGTATGATACTGGTTCTTTACTTGCAGATCAGTCTGGCATCTCCTGTAGATTCTTATCCCACTTTAATTACTTCAGTGTTTCTGTCTGTTCTGACGTGTCATACATAGGAAATCTACTTGATTTTCTATCTTCAATTCCCTCCTGAGTGTTTTACATCATTTGCTTTTCAAAAGTGTTTAACTAAAAGTACTACATGCAATGTACTGACTGCTTTATTAAATTTAACACATTAAATTTCCAGTCATTGCAGCATCTAGATGCTTTATTGCTGCAGGAAAACAATAAGTGCAAATAAGAACTTTCATTTATCTGCTATGATTGGATTACATTTTGTTAGTGACTTGTTTTATCTCCTTGTAATGAGTGCCATTGCTCATTTTCTTCTTACAGGAACTTTTGGAAAGTGTATTAAAGCATGTTAGAAACTTAATAATATATCAATGATGTATGGGTAATTTTCAAACAGTAGTGAAAGCAGTGCTAAGAAGGGACAGTTTGTAGCATAATGCCTTGTGAGCACTCCTGAAAACTTCAAATAGCAGGTTTCAATCAGAAAAACAGAATAATTTTTTATCCCAGACTAACATTCCCACCCACATAATAAGATCACATTAAAATCTCAGTAACCCAGTAAACCACAGACAGCTTGTAATTAATTACCAACATTGTTTGCTTTTGTTCCATACATATTTTGTTTAACTGAGTGATAATTCTTTCTCCATTTCTGAAATCTAAAAAGCTATTAAATAAACCAGTCAATACGAAAGATATGTGGAAAGAAAGTAAAAATCCCTAAAATTATATTGGATATAATTCTTTTTGTCTGTGTTATTTGTTATTAAGTCCCTAATAAACTGAATATATAATATCATTGTAGTAGAGTAACAACGATAATATTGTATTTTTTTTACGTAATGTGATGTCTGAACATCCTGCTTCAATAATTTTGCTGACTACTATAGAAACAATGTTTTTGTGAGAGTTATTCAATTTACAGAACAGCAAATCAAGAACTGGAAGGGCTGTGTATTTTGCTTTTTCTTAGATCTCCTTAAAATGTTAGTGCTGGAGTTCAGAAGAACAGTATGGAGAAGGATTATCTGGCTCAACATACTGATCTATTATTCATTTATTGACAAAAGACATAATTGATACATTAAATGCCAACATTAGAAAACAATTTGTGAGGTCTTCATAATACAGGTATGAAAATTCATCCATACTATTAGTGAGGGCCTTGACATTTCTTCCCCCTGTAACTCATTACTGTCTGTAAGTGTAGCCTTAGTTGAAAATCAGCAAGCGGCTCAGCAATACTTGTACACTCAGATTGGTGATTCACTCTAAATTTAAGTACCTGTTTCAAGAGCAACATATTTCTCTTAATGTATGCAAAATGGAGCCTGGAAGGTTTTTGCTTTGTTATTTTTCAGTAAAGGCATTCATGATAGTGTGCTACCACACTATGGCATTCTTATTTATGGCATTCCTTTATAAATTTGTATTTACCTCAAAAAGGAAGCATGCAATTTTACTTCTTCATTTCATTTCTTCATAGCATTAATTTATCTGGAAAATAAAGGCATGCATTGCAACACTGCTAACGTTGGGTAACTGCTGGATTTGATATCTAATTCTTTGAAAATATAAATATGATAAAGCATATATTGAAACGCATAAACTCTGAAAGACAACAAGTGTGACAAAGACTTTAACAGTTGCAAACATGAGCCTGGTGAAAGCTGTTTGATTTCAGATAAATCTAGTTATTTGTTTACGGGAATTTCTTTAGAGGTATGTGTAATAGAAATATCAGTATGTCCAAGTTTTGACATTGCTATAGATAAGGTATTATGACTTTTATAAACTGTGGGACTACTTTGGTACATGTAGATTTTCTGCTGGCTCAAATGAGAGTCTGCTTTGACCTGCATGGGTAGCTTTTAAAACAGGGATTATTTCAGATAAGATTCAGACTACCTGTACTACAAGTTTAAGTCTCTTCAAGGACTTCTGACACACTGGCATTATACTGTATGCTTCAAGAATATGGAAATGGTTGCAAGGCAAATGTGAAGTAGATGATGCATCCCATGCTACTAAAACCACTCATGATCCGATGAGAAAGATAACTTTATTTTCAATTATTTTCTTTTACAGGTCATACATATGGGATGGGTAAATGAGAGACTTGAAGGAACTGATTCATCTCAGCTCTACAAATTCAAGTTTCTGGCCCTGAAGGGTTCATCCTTCTACATTTTCAGCACTCCACCGGTAAAAAAAAATTGATTTTTTTTATGAGTTTCATTGTAAATGGAAACCTGTTTGTTACAGCTGGGTTTGTTTTCCTTTATCAAGTGAAGTTTTCAGCTGAGATTTTAATATAAGTTAAAGTCACAGATGCCACTGAATTTCAATAAATGTAGATATTTAGCCTCTTTCAAGGTCCTCTGAAAAGCTTGCTGCATGTTTTGTTTTTGAAGTTCTCAAAGTCAGGTTTTATTTTGGTTGTTTACGCCTAATATTTCTTCCCTTATTTATTTTAAGGTATTTTGTAGATGTTATGAATTGGTAGTTACTCTGCTTTGTGATGCATCATGAAATAAACCATCCATACTATTGGATGATAGTTGTGGACTTTTCACACAGGAAGGGATCAAAATGCTAAGTGTACAATTTGGACAAGTCTTACTTTGATAATTTATATACCTCCTAACAAGAATTCTGTTTCGCAATAGGTACCTTATCTAATATTTTTTTAAAAATTAATTTAGAAGGGTGAAATGGAAATGAGCTGTAGAATTCTAAACTGTTTAAAAAAATTACTCATACTTACCACATGGTAATATTTAATCCTTTCTTTTTTTTCTCCAGAAAACCTTTGCCTTAAACAAATCATAAAAGAATAAAAAGTGGACTTAGCATGAAATTTAAATTATACAATGTGCTTACAGTTTTGCTCAGTCTCCCAATTTTGTCTGCTGGTCCAAAGAAAATCTGATTCTTTATATGTGTACTCTCTGCAGTACGGTTGGGAAATACATACTTTTCAGAAGTTATTTGTGAACTCAATGAAATGCAATAAGTAAAATTTCCCTTCTCTAAGTGGAAATTATTAATCCAATGATTAATTAATTTCAATCATTTTAAAATGGCTAATAGCATTCTTTTTAAAATGAGACAACACATCTGGGAAAAGCAGGGGGATTCCTATGGTGTTTCATATGTTAAGCAAAGGAACTAAAATTTGATTAAATTTCTACAATTTAATTAAAATTTGAAAACAATCCAGAAATATCAAACAAATAAATAACACACCTCATTAATTATTTTCCTCTTTATATTTTAATTATTGTCTTCAGGCCTGTTTCTAAGACACATTTTTGATATAATTAAAATTGTATATCTATATGATACTAATTTGGGATAAACTATTTCATTTACCATTTTCAGCACTCTACAAAGAACAGATGTAGGGATGACTGGTGGTAGAAATTACCTGACAGAATCTATTATCTTTTTACAATATTTTTGTAGGAGCCTTGGCTTTCAAAAAATGAACAAAGGGGAACCCTTTTATCAATGTGTTGTGCCACCTCAATACTGTGATGCACCAGTAAATGTGAAAGAGTCTAGAAATCATAAAACTTGTTGATTGGTTTTCTTGCTCTTTTAATATTCCCCAGATGTCTCTCATCAAATGAGAAAACCCCAGAAAGAAAAGACCAAATTAACAGTTTCCAGCAACCTCCTATCTGGAGACTTCAAAGCTGGCTCTAAAGCCACACTTTGAAGCTGGTTATCATTCTCCTGAGGGCACCTCCAGCCCTGGCTTTTGCTGATGCCCTTCCCTGTGGGTCACTCCATGATCCCAGTGCACCCTGAGGGCAGCAGGGCCTGTCGGGCTCCACAGCCCTGCCCTGCCCAGCCTGGTGCCACAAGGCAGGGCCCCCAGGGGCCAGGCCCAGCCCAGCCTGTCCCTGCTCCCAGGGGCACGGCTGGTGCCCCGAGCTGGGGCTGCCCCGGTCCCCACGGCTGCCCTGCTCCTGGCTGGGCCTTGCTGGGACGGAGGGCAGCACTTCAGAGCAGCCGTGGTTTCTCACCTGGAGCTAACAGAGCTAATGCAGCCGTGTTTGGGCTGATGCTGAGCAGGGCTGGTGCAGCCTTTCCATCCTCACAGCTCACCCAGGGAACTGCCTGGGGCTGGGACAGGCTGGGGCAGACGTGGTTTCTCACCTGGAGCTAACAGAGCTAACGCAGCCGTGTTTGGGCTGATGCTGAGCAGGGCTGGTGCACCCTTTCCATCCTCACCGCTCACCCCGCAAACTTGCCAGGGGCTGGGACAGGCTGGGACAGGCTGCGGGGGACACGGCCGGGACAGCTGATTTGAATAGAGCAAAAGGGATTTCACATACTATGAAACATCATGCTCAGCAATAAAAAATGAGAATTTGGTCTTCAAAAGTAGCCATTGCTTGGAGAATGGCTGGGCATTGGTCTGCTTGGGGTGAGCAGCGTGCAATTGCCTTTGCATGAATTGATTTCTTCCCCTTTCCACCACTTATTAAACTGTCCTCTTCTTGCCCCATGCATTTTCTTGGTTTTGCTCTTCCTATTGTCTCTCCCACCCCATAGCAGGGGGATGGGGAGTTAGTGAGGGGCTGTGTGGGTGTTTGGCTGTGTGACAAGGTCAGTCCACTGTGGGGATCCTGCCCTGACAGACTCCAGACAGTTCCCGTGGCACTGATTCTGTGCCACGTGTCCCAGCTCTGGAAATACAGATCCCCCCACAAAACTGTGCATAGAGCTCTTTCACTGCTTTTAGAGATTTTAGATGCTACTGCTCTTACCATTGCTCCTATTGAGGTTTGGGTTTTTTTACTATTTTAAGCAGGAAAAAAAAAAAAAAGATTGTTCAATCACAAAAATACAAATGTTTCAACTTGCTTGATCTTTAGAAGATACAAGTTTAACATATTTTATTTCAGAAGAGTTGCTTTGCTATTTGTATTCTGAATCAACGTTGCATATCAGTGTGTCAGTATAGTGTGCACAGAGCAGATGACCTCTAAATTCTACACTTATCTTTAGCCATAATTTTACAACTGATTGTAAAAGGATGTAGTACAATTTCCACTCTTTTTCTATTTCATTGTGTGTAAAAGATAACGTGACTGTACATACAGCTGCTAATTTTCATAAGAATGGAAAACATAGTTATATATGAGCAAAAATAAAGAAAATTGTGGAAAAAAGTGGATATTATACTATGAAATAAATCACTATGACAAGTAATATTCTATTTATATGCTATTTCTACAATTCATGTAGTCTTGGATGGTGATTTCACAAATATAGAGACTTCACCACAGAAGTAAATATCAAAAAAGGTGAAATTAACAGAGAAGGGTCTTTTTGCATCCCTGAAGGGACTTATCTGATTGTGTTTAAGAAATTTACAGATTTCCTTTACACACTGGTATATTGGAAGTGTGACCCATTTCTAAAAACTAAATGCCCCAATTGTGAAAACACCACTGTGAAAACACCGTGAAAACACTGAAAAACACCACTGAACCAATAGAAAATCAAACTTTTTTTTATATCTTTGAAAAGTTCCAGAAAATAATTTAATGTTTTTATGTAATATGGGCTAGACGGAGGGAAAATTTCTGTTTGATTTTTTTTTATGTTTCCCTTATAGTTCATTATGACTGTTACATTAAACTATTCCAGTATCCATAACCTTAGATCTGTTGTGTAACACTTAATTGCAAAACTGTCTTTTTCAATGTGACTAAATAAATAGCACTGAAATGATTTAACATGAAGGCAGCTAGACAATCACTGCGTGGGCTGTTTATAATTTTAAGAAAAGAATAAATAGAAGAATATTGTGAAATAGTTCCACATTTGACAGTATAGAGAAGTTTGTACAATGTAATTAAGACAAGCAGTGTTTTTAATGCTGCCATGTAAGTTCTAAATACTAAAAATAATATTTTTTTTTTAAATATATTCTTGGGTTATTTTTTTTTCCATTAAGTAGTAAACAGACCAGTGAAATTAATTACTCTTTACCTAGAAGTATTTCATCTTCTCCTTAGACCTTTTTAGTACTTCTAGGCAGATTGGATGCTTCTGCTTAATTCTCAGATAATGCAGCATTTGCTGTATTCCAGTAATAAATACTTTAATTTTCTTCCTTTACATTTACTCAAATATTTTTAATATTTTGGGAGTCTCTGGAGACTTCTAGAATCAGATTCTATGTTAGAGAATGTCCAGGAGTATGTTATGTTAATTTTATTTCAGTGATTTTTGAAGTATGATTCTCTTTTACATTCACCCCATATTTCTTTATTTAGTGGTGATCTCTGAGCAGGGATGAAAGTCTTTTATACTTATTGCCGGTTCTCGGCTTCTTTTCTCTACCCCTGTTGAGGCTGGGATTGAAGGCACTCAAGACAGTATTTTGTGTTCAGACTTATGTGTTTATTTTTTCTTATCTGTTTTACAGCCTCACAGGCAGGGAGTTCTGCAGTATTTCACTAACTAGGTGCAAAATGGCTATCTTTTGTTACAAGTTCTTTTAAGGCTAACCAATCCAATTAAAGAAATGACACCTAAATTATCTTCTCTTTTAACCCAATAACCAATCACTCAAAGTCCACAATGCAGACTTTGCTGTCCAATTACAAAATACCACCCAAACCCATGCAGAAGAAGGAAGAAGGTAAAGAAGAAGGGCAAGCCTCTGCTCTAAAACCTCCATCTTTCTCCATATATATTACTATATTCTAAAACCTGAAGCTCTAAGTTCTCCACCCTGTGATATTGCACACTTCTAATAAAACTACACACCTGTAATCCCAGTGCTATCAATCCACTTTGGAAGTCTTCTCCTCTACCTCAGGTCAAATGCACTGCTCTCCTGGGAGTCAGAGTCTGTCAGCACAGAAAGTCTAAAATTCTCATCATCCAGAACTCCAACACCTATTTTATAATTGCAGAGTTCTCTTCTAGGGAGTAACTTTGTGAGCTAATTGTTTACTGCATGAGTGTGTCAAAATCACCCAAACCCATGCAGAAGAAGGAAGAAGGTAAAGAAGAAGGGCAAGCCTCTGCTCTAAAACCTCCATCTTTCTCCATATATATTACTATATTCTAAAACCTGAAGCTCTAAATTCTCCACCCTGTGATATTGCACACTTCTAATAAAACTACACACCTGTAATCCCAGTGCTATCAATCCATTTTGGAAGTCTTCTCCTCGACCTCAGGTCAAATGCACTGCTCTCCTGGGAGTCAGAGTCTGTCAGCACAGAAAGTCTAAAATTCTCATCATCCAGAACTCCAACACCTATTTTATAATTGCAGAGTTCTCTTCTAGGGAGTAACTTTGTGAGCTAATTGTTTACTGCATGAGTGTGTCAAAATTAGTTTAACTTCATTGTTTTCTCTCTATTTTAAATCATCACTTTTTAGAGAAAAGCCAATGATAACTCACATATTTAAAGGCAAGTATATTTGGAATATAAGTTTGAACTGATGATGAGATCACCTGATCTATGTAAAGCTAGATTTCATCAGTTTTTTTATTTTCAGAACTCCACTGTAATGCCTGTTTTTAAACCATGAGGAAATTGCAGAAATCATGCTAAAGTAAAAAGTACTTCTGCAACACTTGGGACTTTTGTAACTCTGTGTACCTATTTTAGTCTCTCATTGGAGACTTAGAATTGTAATTTCAGATTCCTATTTTTTCTAATCCTGTTTGATTTTATTATCTTTCTTATCAGCTCAGTGTTACCTGTGGGTTTACACGTCTTAATTTTGCAATGTTCCTGTGTAAGGATTAACATGGCTAAATGTCTACAGAACCAAGTATTCACACATACTGCACTGGGTTAGCTAAGGGGGTGGTCTGCCAATAATATAAATAACAACATTCAGCTACTCTTGGTAATAAATTAATACAGTAGACAAACACAAATTAAAGTAGAGGCTTACTGAATGCTAACTGAAACTCTCATGTATTTTGACACTCTTTCTGAAACTGTCTGAACTAAATTTATGTGAATGCAAGCATGTCTCATTGAGTCATTTATTCTGAATAGAGCTGTTTGAAATGTTTTGTCAAATGCTTCATAAAAAATAATAACACTGTCATGCCAAGAAATTGCAATATATAGAATACCTGCAGGAACAATTCTAAGGGGAAATAATGAGAAAAACTACTTTATTGTCTAGGAAATATACTCGGGTGTCTCATTTATCTTAGGTACTTATTACCCAGTTATTACATGTGTGATGATGGATAACCTACAATAAACTGGAACACTCTTTAAATCAAATGAAGGATATTGCAATTTTCATGATCTTTCATGATTATTTCCAGCTTTTCCTCTTGACTAGGTGTATATGGTTATTTGTGGGGTTTTAAAAGTAAAGCAGTCTATAAGAGTAACATTTTAAACTTAGACATGCATTGATAGATCTGATAAAACATTAAATAATGTCAGCTGTCTGTTTAGATTCTAGTATTCCTCTGTAATATATTTATTTTTCCTCCTTATAATTCCTCTCAATATGTCATTTGTGTTCTGAGCACCTTGCATACAGTGGTATTCTGTTTCACTCTCTAAGTGTGGTAACCTTTCTCTGACACACACAGGTAAAGAAATCCTTGGCTTATATAGGTGCCAGCAGTTGTCACTATAAGTTTCTGCCTCTGCTGAAAAAGTCATATGAGGTTGCACAGCATCAAAAGATGAAAGAGATGTGTGGAATAATGGGAAGAAGTCTGAAGTACTCAGAGAGAATTTAATGGCACAGCAGTGTCACCTTCATCTATCATTAATAGTGCAAAGATCCCCAACAGTTAAAATTAATGTTCAGGAATCAAAACAAATGATGTGAGCAAATGAAAGTCCATTCATATCTCAAGAGCTTTCAGGTCATAGCCCATGTCACCAAAGCCAGTTGCACAAACAGCAAATGAATCAGTGCTTATGCTTCCTTGTCTAGCCACTTAACAGCAATACAGGGTTCTCCCGCTGTTAAGTGAGATGGAAAAGATCCTTTCCCTTTGAGAAATTCAAGACCAAATAATGGATAAGCCTCCAATCTACTCTAAATCTGATTTTGCAAGAAGCATGAATATCTCTTTGGAGGAGTAATGGGGAAAAAAACTTATTATTTAATTATTTTCTTTTCAAAAAAGCCATCAAAGTACAAGATACTTCCCTGGACATAAGATTAAGCAAAGACCTGCAGTGCTTACTCTATTGTGAGACTGTTTAAATGTACATTTCTTTATGAATTAGCTTTTTAAGTCCTCTGTTTCAGTTGTTTAAAAACTTAGGTTATTTCTTATATGTACGATAATTAAATTGCAAAACTCATATAAAATATTGAATGGACTAACAGTAAGATAAATAGAAATGAAAACCTAAAATATAGAAAGGTATGTCTTTAAAAATTGCTACCTCTTTATAAAGTGATAGGAGGAAAAGTTAGTACCTAAAATTTCTTTAAATTCCTTTTCGAAACCAGCTGACATTAGGTTTAGATTTGAAAAAGTTTAAGTAGTACTATGTGTTTTTATCATGTAATTTTAAAATTACCTGTATGTAATGTTTTGAGCTATGATTTTTGAGACATTGCTCATAGTAAAACAAAGTGCATGATCTGCCATTTGATTGCTAAGATATAGAAACTATGAAATGGAAAATCATAGACTGTGAGTCCCTCTATATCCTGAAAAGATGTGGTACTGGAACTTATAGAGTTCTTCAGTCCCATTTAAGTAGGTGATTCATAATATCTAAATTTAATCATCTAAAAAAACCTAATCTAAACCTAAAATAAATTGGGAAAAGGTTAGAAGGTTAGATTGTTAAAAATTAATTCAGATTGTTAAGATTAGAAAGAAATTAATACTAAGTTGACATTACTCCTCCAAAGTAACATTTCATAACTAACAGAAGTCCCATTAGAGGCCTGTAAGTGTTGCAGTGGTTTGGATTCTCATCAAGTTATTACAATTCTGTTTAACAGCTTAGAATTTGAAGAGACTTAAAAATTAAACTTTAAAATAAATTTGAGAAGAACCAAAACATCTTGATATCTCCATGCAAATCATGAGAAGAAATACTAAATTTTTTAAAAGGCGAATTATGTGCTACTGTGACCACAGAAAAAAAAAATCTGTGATTTAATTTCATAGTTTTTTCTAGTTAAGTTTCATCCGCATAACCAGATATTTTACAAACACTTTTTTTTCTTTATGTTAATAGTTTTAATTTATTTTTCCTGCTTTCTTCCTTTTGGGTGGTGTGTGAAAATAAAACGAAGCTAGAATTTTAAATTATCCAAGTGTTACCAAAATACTTATTTCCATATATTGAATTTTTCCGTTGTGTGAGTTCTTTTTTTTTTTTTTTTTTTCTTAAACTATGTAGGCTGGGTACTGTTTTCAAAAGAAAACAGATTATCGCATCATATCATTAAGTAGAATTTTGGTAAAAACTTCAAACATCATTCTTCCTATTCAGATTTTAACAGCCTGTCATGTCAATAGGATTAGGTATTGAAATCAAAAGAAAACAAAATATAGGTGTTTTCATATTATTGAGCACACATCTGATATTTTTCTTGATTATAAATATTGCAATCACATAGTCCTTTTTCCAGTTTTAGACTTAATATTGGGTTATTTCATCCCTAGTGCATGTAAAATCAAAACTGAATTTAGGACTACATCTTGATCTATTGATTGTAAGTTTTTTTTCATATTGAGGCATGAAGGTGAATGACTCGGTGTTTGAGACTGAGTTCTCTGTGTTACAAAGACATTTCCATCATACTAGGAAAAGAAAAAATGAAATTATTTAGCACATTTTAATTCCTGTTTCTGTAAAAATTTAATACTATTCGACAGTCTTTTCTAAATACTGGATATTAAATATAGTGATGTGCCAGTATTTAAAAGATCCAGTAGAAAAATAATGGGTGAAATGTTTTCAGTTTTTTTTCATCTGAACATTATTTTCAAATAAAAAATGTGCTGATAATTCTTTCTTTTTATATTATAGGTAAGCACACTAGACTGGGTACGAGCTGAAAAAATCTATAACCTCTGTGAGGTTCTATTTAAAATTCACAAGGTAGGTTTCCCAATGGTTCCAGTGATTTTATTTAGTAAAGAAAGTTTACCTTTTCCTGTTGATGATAAGCTCAAATTAATCTTAACTAGGAATAAATAGTTCATCTGTTGTTATAAAAAACTATTTGCAATTGCTGGTGCATTAGATATGCAAATATAAGAAAATATGGAAAATAGGTTAAGCTCCAAGTGAGCAAGTTACCTTTTTAGTATTAATGCTGTATGAAGTATCAGTGAGACACACTGCTAAGCATGATATTAGTTTTTTCTTAGTGGGTCATATTTTCAAGCAAACATGATGAAAAATGTTCTTGTTGTAATTCTTGATCCATGTAAAATATTTTTATTTTAGTAATAAAAATTATAAAATTATGTCTTTGTTGTATCATATTTATTGATTGCTTTATCCAGTATTGTAGTGTGTTTTTCTTTATAAAAGGCTCTGTTTGTTATAACGTGTTGGATTTGTGTCCCATAGAATTAATTTTCTTCCTCCAACTAGGCAAAGTCATGTTTTCTTTCTAGGTTGTCCCAGTCAAAGATTTGGGGCAAAATATTAACACTCTGTGTAAATTATTGACTTATAGAATATATTGTCTAATAAATTGCATCAAATAGATTAATTTTATTCTCCAACAAAAACAAAATCTTTGCAGGTGAGATAAGGCTACTGTGAGAGCCTATTTGTCAAGGAGAGTTGTAGCCACAGCTCTCTCCATAGAGAGCAGCAGGCATGACTTTCCCAGGCATTTTCCTGGGGAAGGCTGTGAGAAGATCAGAGAAAAGATTGAGAAACAATTCTCATCTACACTTGCTCACCTGTTGTTCTGCACATGTGAAAGTTGTTATGGAGATTCATTTACCAAAGGGTGATTTCTTAATTGGTCACTGGTGATGGTGTTTTGATTGATTTACCAATTAGATTAATGCTGTATCGGGCTGCATGTAAGGGTGATGAGTTTCTTAATAAATATAGTATAGTTTAATAGAATAAAGTGATTGATCAGTTCTCTGCAATCATGGAGTCAATGCTCATTATTACCCGGCTGGGGGCCTACAGCAACAGAGAGTAAAGAATATTTTCAGAAAAAAACCCTCCATTTTTTTTCAGATAAAATACTATTTCAGTGCAAAATTAAAGCTTATCTTTAGTTCTCACCAGCTGCTGCTCTATGCTGTTTCCCCTTTGACCACACTGATGTCATGGAAAAAGGCAGGTTGTTACCTGTAACAGATCCTGCACTGAAGCAAAAGTGCTTAAGGTTTTTGATTTGGTATTGGTGGGAGTGGTTTGGTTTGGTTTGGGGTGTGTAGGTTTTTTTCTGTTGTAGGGATTTTTTATTTGTTGGGGTTTTCTCTGATGTAGGTTATTCAGGAATAAGGAAGTGATTTGGCACTGCCATGCCAGGAAAACAGTAGTTCTGGAGTTCAGGACTAGAGCTCAGTTCCAGAGGCACAGGAAGACAACCATATTCTTGTAGTCATGGCATTATTTTTGTGTGACCATGTCTCCAGCTGGGAACATAAGGGGAAATTCAGGTCCTGCCCATCACTATCATAACAACAAAAAGTAGATGTTCTGTCACAGATAATTTATTTAGTCTCCTTTTTTTTTTTTTAATTATTATTTTACTTTTGGCTCAAAAATAAGTCTTGGGTTTTGGTTTTGTTTTTTCTCCTATAACTGTTACTGCTAAAACTCAGTTCCTGGAATATTCCTGGAATATTATGGTAATTTCAAGGATATTCTGTCCTTCTGCAACTTCTGCAGTACTTTTTCATTAAGAAAAAGAAGTTTGGAAATAAACTATCCACGATTCAACTCTATAATGTTCTTGACATTTTCATAAATGAATGCTTAATTGCCAGTCTTCATGAATGCGTAAGCTAAAGTGCAAAAGCTCAAACTGAACTCCTTAACCTCTTTTCTCTTGATTCATTGATATAAATGACAATGAGGCAAACAGAACAAATCCAAAAAATTATGAGATTAAGGTTTCTGCATTAGATATGATAGTTATGTTGTAAAAGCTGCCATTTAGTGAGAGGGTTCTTAAGGATTTTCAGAAGCTGGTTAGCATTAGTGCAAAACTCTGGCAGAGTATTTTATTGTATCTTCTCATGAATAGAGATGGATTTTTATGAGAAGTACTCTTGTTACACACCTAATTGTAAGCTTCTTATCTATGTTTATTATGATGCAAGAGTTAAACATGGAAAATAGCAATCCAATATGGAACTTAAATTTTAAAACAGAATTTTTGATATCTATTTAGATTTGGGTGTATGTATACATACATATAAATACAAAAATATGTGAATTTAAACTCATATATATAATATGCTCCTGCATATTTCTGTTCATTTGATGGTAACAGCCAGATGACTTGAAATGTAATGTCTGGCATCACCTGTGTTTTTTCTTATAGCTTGCCTCATAATTCAAACTCTTACTGTAATCCTGTACATTTTTAAGTAATTTGTCATAAAAACATTTATTTTCTTTTATTGTCTGGTATTTTCACATGCAAAATTTAAAAAATTTGTTAATATAGTAGTCTGCAAGCCAGGATATGCAGCATTGAGTCTTGAAACAGATGTAATACCTGTCACTCCACAGCTGCTGAACAGCAGAATGTATGCAGGAATTTTGTTTAACTTCCTTTTCAACAGTGCAAAGGAGTGTTGTAAAATAACTGAGTTTCATCAAGTTTGTTCTCTCCTCAGGTAATTGGAGGGCCAATTTTGACAACACACTGCTTTGAACCCTGTGTTCAAAGCTGCTCCCAAGATGCCCCATGAATCATTGCTAAGTATTTTGGGGTTTCAGTCTTTTCTGCCCCATGATATCACAGATAAATGGGGATAGGGAAGGGTTCTACCTGATAAACAAAAAAATAAAAATATGTGTAATTTGGAAATTCAAGCTGTGAAAGTACTTAGATGTGTAAGTTGCAGCTTTTTAATTTAGTTTTCCTCTATGTTAATCAATGAAGTCTTGAAACATTAGGGAAGTTTCTTATATTAATTTGTTTAAACTTACAAAACATTATATTGCAGGTATATTTTTTATTATGCAAGTTTAATGTACAGTTTCTCTTTATCTTGAAGGTGATGGTAGGATCTTGTTTCAGTCTCCTTGTATTTACAGAACAGCATTGACAACTACAAGAGGAAATGCTCATGTTGTCATTTCCAGAATTAGCCCTGGGGAGCTTGATAAATTACTGCATTCCTTGGGGTTTAGCATATTGGAACCCAAATAGAGTGGAGTAATTATAGTCTCCTGTAGAGCTGGTACACAGCTTCTGGAGTGTCTTGAAACATTCAGGGATTTCCTTCTTTTTCCACTGTAAACAATATATTAGTTCAAACTCACTTCAAATTATATATGTATTGCTTAGGTAATTTTGACTGTGTTTTGGAACTGCAGTAGTAGCTTGGATTAAAAGACAGGGGACAAAGCAAATAAGAATCAAAGAGAGAAGCTGTCTTTGACATAATTATTTAACTCCTAGAACATTTTTTCAACACAGTTGTTGACATAATGGCATAGTATATCCAAGTACCCATCACTTACTACAGAAGTGTTGCTTCAATTGTTTGGTTTTGCCAGATGAAGAATCACATACTGAAACATATCTTTCAGCTCTGGCTTGCTGATGATTGCTGGCTACAAGCAAACTTGTATTTAGGTATTCACCAGGACTTTGATCTTGAAGACCAGAGGCCGTATTGTTTCAGTGTTATGGTCGGACATGGCAAGAGCCACTATTTCAATGTAGAGCTGGGCAGTGAATTGGCAGTGTGGGAGAAATCATTCCAAAGAGCAATTTTCTTGGAAGTTCAAAGAACAGGGGTAAGTACAATTTAAATGATTTAATCTGTAAAATAAGTATAACAAGATTTTGAATTATTTGTATGTTTAATAATACTCATGTCCTCCATGACTAAGCATATGAGTACCTTTCATAGGCTGAAGACTTCTGAAAGCTTCATCATCACATCAATATTCTTTTGCCAATGACTGTGTAATACCAGTCAATGAGCATGTTATGACAGACTGAGAATTGAAAGTTATCATTTGTAAGTTCACCTTGATTATTAAAAACTGGAAATTACTATGTATTACCAGTGGAAAACTCTTAGGAGTGTATTTAATCCAACTTGAACATTTTCTTCCAGAAAGCTAATTTTCTTCTCACATAAGGTAAATATGATATGTCTTATGTAATGCTTCTGTATTCAAAGAGGAAATGTTTTGCTATTATATTGTTAATTGTGAATTGGGATTGTCCTTGTTAACATTGGAAGAGTTTGAAGACAGTATAAAAGGGAAAAGAAGTTTGTAATAATCTTGAATTCTCAAAATTAAACAGCAGATTATCACTTTCTGCTGGCGAGTAAATCTAGGTCCATACTCTCAAGTGAACTGGACAAATGTTATAGGTGTGTATGCATTGAGACTAGAGGCCTTTCCAATTAAAAATATATTTACTCAGTTTAACACAAATGCAGACTTGATTTGGTGTGCTCAGGTTTGCAGTGCCCTGTGGACCTCCTAAAGATACTTGAAACACTGAGAACACTGGATCACAGCATTGTATTAGCATCACTTGCAAGGAGCAGGAGTCCTATCTCAGGTGGTTTATCAGCTCATCTAAATTTCCAAATCTCTGGGATTATAAACAGGTTTCTGGGTTCTTACAAGGTACTTAATTAGAACCCTTCTATTTGTCTCTTTAGACTGATGAAGGAACAAAAAGATCTTGTAACCGTTCCTAATCCTGAACTTCTGAGAAGGAATGCTGTTCTTCAGAAAAAAATTTTTAATCGTATATATTATCCATATAAAACCAGATAACATATAATTAAAATTAAGTATAACAAGCATGCAGATTAGCTGGCTCTTTATCTGATTAAATATCTGATTATTTATTGTTAAATCTCAAAACTTGCTTTTCCTTTACATCCTTAAAATTAAGGAATGATTCTTACTTGTGGAATAATCTTCTGTCATTTGAATCAGTCATCTAGACTCATTTCACACGAAAGACATTAAATTTTCTGCAGCTGTGGTTTAACCTATCTGAAACCTCCAGGAAAGTCTTTCAAATAAAATCCTGATTACAGTGCTCAAGTCTCCATATGTGTTTTCCTATGTCTTAATTGTCTCTCACATAGTTAGATACATCCAAATTTACTGTAAACTACTATGTCAGTGGAGTTCAGAGTACTGTGATCAGTCTCCAGCAGTGAAAATCTTTTGGCTATTTTCTTTCTTTCTTCAAAGCATAAATTCTGTTGTGAGTGCCTTTCTTTTCAGAATGATGTCAAAATCAGCATGAATGAGGTGCAATTTAATATTACATGGAATATTTCAAGTCATAGAAAAAGTACTGGCATTCTAGTATCCAGAAAATTCAAGCTTGTCACTGGTATGTCAGTCTGTAAAATTTCTTTCTTTTGGAGAATTTTGGAAATTATTTTTTATACATAACTGATTGGGCAAGATTCATGGCAGCTGTTGGATTTCATTGTGCCGTTTCAGCCATTCTTTTTTAAATGGAGCTTGGTCCGTTTGATGTCCTGTGTAGCTAGGATCTTGCCCATGAGGGTTTTTTTTAACCTTTGCCTGTACATACCCTTTGTATTTAATGTTTCTATAATAAGAGCTGTATTTCTGAGAAGATTCTGTCCTTACACAGTTTATGAAGAGAAATGCTAAGATGCTGTGGTCCTTTTGAATTTTATCTGCCCTTGTTGCATGATTTTTTTTATATTTCTTTTGAAAATGGCAGCAGCAGTAGATGATAGAAAGAATGCAATAAAGCAGGAAGAAACACCCCTCACAATATTGCTCCCCTTTCAGGTGTCTTAAACCCGTATTTCAATCTGCAATTGTTTACAAAAATTGTACCAAGAAACTCTGAAATTCAGAGATCCTGGTGAAATTAATCTATTTGCAGACAATGGCAACAAACAAACAGATGTTGAATCCATGTACTAGAAATACATGCGGTTTTTTCTTAGAAAAACATTTGTAGCTGCTGATAGCCTAACTTGGATAGATGGGGACAATAAAAATGCAGGAGAAGTGAGGCAGAAAGGCAGTTGAAAGAGAGGAAAAGTGGTGTTAAAAAGTATTTCCATTAGGCTGGTAATAAAAGTCAGCATTGCAATGGTGGAATGAAATCCTCTCAGTCATATCTTGAAGTTATTCAACTCCTGCAAATCCCAGCAAGAATTCCTGTTTCACCTGGAACACCCTAAACAGTGCAAGATGAATAAAGGATGCTTGGATTAGGTAATTTTTCTTCCCCTTTCAAGATTTTTATGGTTTAGAAAATCTTCAAAAATAAGAGACTAGCACATTTTCCAGAGCTCTTACTAATTCTTTGACCCTTCAGGTTGGTCTTGTCTGCAGCATAGGATATTATTCCACATTTTTTCAATGTCATCATTTTTAAATTTCTTAATTGGTATTCTTCCTTTGCCTCAGACTATTTTTTCCAAATGAAATTATTTGATCCATCTGAGTCTTAGATATGATTATTAAATTAATGCAGAAACGTCTCAAAGGGATGATTTGGATCAGTTCTGTTCAGCAAGAGGATGGAGAAGAATACTGGAATAGTGGACAGAGGAAAGAGTGACAGTAATATATTTTACTATCAGCTGTAGAAAATTGAACCAACAGTTTTGTCATCTTGAAACCTTGTACATGTAAGCTTTGTTTGATGGCTGGAAGAGAACAGAGGAGAGGAATTTGCTTTACAAATGAAAGAATTATCAGAGACTGAAAAAAAAACATGCAGTGGGAATATCATCTACCACAGTGTCTCTAAAGTACCTGCAGTTGGTATATAGTGATAAGCCATGGTTGCATACTCTCCTCACTAGCAATTCTAACACAAAAGAAAGTTTTCCCTTCATACTTCCAGCTGTTATGAAGATGCTGCAAGTTCTTTCCAATCCTCATATAGCTGAATAACCTACTCCATTGAAACCGTTTGTGTTGCTTGGACAAAATATTTATTTAATATGAGTTACTCCGAGAATTAAAATAGGCTGGATCCCATTAAATTATAACAGAATAATCAAGAAGTTTTTCTGCCTTATTATTTTCCATGCTTAAAGGTAAGTACTTCTAGGTAACTTCTTTCCATTTTGTTCATGATTCAGTGACTAACATCAACACAGACATAAACCCTTCAAACACAATTTTATTTTTTTTTTAAGTCAGAGATATGAATGTATAGAGAAATGTTAGCAGTAAAATTCATGTTCCTGGAATGATACAGGGTCATCATGTGAAGAACATATACTACAAATAAAATCAAAGTAAACCAAGCAAAATAGACAAATTAAGATTAATCAATGTTGCATGTTATTTCACTTAACACGATTGGAAATCCAAAATCATTTTGTAATGAACATAAATGTATGATGGATTTTTCCTGCGTTTTCCCTTTTTTAAAATCAGTTAACATAAATCCCATAATCTGTGAATGTTTTATGTTTTTGTATGCATTTTTAATATGTCTTTATTTTCCAAGAAATTAACAGCAAACCATTCTCTATAGGAAGATTCTTGATGCTCCAAATATGACTCAAAATTGTGACTCAGAATTGCTCTCAGACAGATTATGTCTGTTCCTGGATAAAACAAAAATAACTGTGCATACAGACCTAGAGCTTTGTTTCTATAAGATTCCCACATTAGACTTTTAATTTTTCTACAAATATTGTGCTGATAAAACACATTGATGAAAATTCCTAAAAAATTATATAATGGATAAGTGCAATTGATAATTTTGTATTGCTTTGTAAGCAACAATTAATCACTTTTGCATATTAGTTGTTAAGTTAATCACTCTTTTCCTCCATGAACTTGAGTCTTCCATGCTTCAAAAAGATGACAGACACAAGAGTGACATAGCTTACACAATGCTTAGTTCACCATCTTCCTGTTCCACTTTAACATTTCCCCCTATCCACTGTGTCTTCTTCCAGCTGATCAGTATGAAGTATTTAAGGAATCCAAAATCATGTTATTGACAGTTAAAACCCACCAATCAACAATCACATAGAAGTGAAGGTTATTGAGTTAACACTTCTTCACATTGAAGAAGGGTTAACTCAATAACCTTTTCTCAGCTTTATATGTCTTTGCCTTTTTGCTTGATGGACTATTTTTCATTAATTATCTGGTCCTGGCTATCTTTGGTATGCTCTCTCCTATCCATCTTTTTAATTTCTTTATAATACCTTGTCATAGATTTTTCTAGTTCATCAGTTTGAATTAATTTCTAATGTATTCATAATATTTTCATCTGATGAAAGGAAGTTTCTTTCCATGAAAAAATATATTGTTCATTATACAAATCCTTTCAGAATACTGTTGACAGGTGTTGATTTTCACCTCATGGTTTTCTAGTAAAGATTTATGGGTTTCAAGTTTTCTTTGTAAAACTTGTCCATGCAATGCTTCCTTCTCATCGTTCCTTTTAAGCTCAGCAAATAATCTGTGCAACCTCCTCATTACAACACCTACTTGCTGTTTGTTCTAGACTGTTACTTAATTTTAGATGCATATCTTTGTTAAAAATCTTCTTCAAGGGTTCACTACAATTAATTTAAAACATACAAAAGTGATTAAGTTCTTTCCAATTAACCTCAACAACCTTTCAAGGAAACCAGGCTTTTTTGTCATAATTTCTCTTTAAAAGCCTTCAGTTGACTATATTGTATAAAATAACAGTATAATAGTGACTGTATGCATACATACTACTTACTAACCAGTCACAAGCAATAATTGATTCATAACATGAAAAGCAGTATTTATATTTTAAATCA